GCCTCTAGTCGCTATCCACTAACTTGTATCAACCTACCTATATTTATATCCCCACGTAATGTAATAAAACAATTACCTCTACAAATATTTGGTCTTTTTTTGTCATGAGGACTAACAAAAAACTGTACTTTTTTCATTTTGTATCATCAAATACACAACTTTGGTTACGAACTAGTGTACGTAGAGAACTAATGTAGAACTAGTGTAGTTCTTCTGAGATTGTACTCAGCATCTCAGAAGCCCTTTAATAGCGCGTAGTGATTGCATTCGACAATATTTTAATAGAGTTTAGTTAAATTTTCGCGTCACTAAATTTTATGTTCTAATATTTATCAGTTATCATGATTGTGTTTTGCAAGAACACGCAGTATTACTTACGCATTCCTTTGACGAATTTCATCCTTAGACTTTTTATTTTAAGTATTATCGGTAATTTGTAATACCGTTAGATCTCTTTTACAATTGTTTATTGACATTTTAAAATATTTTAAAACGAAACAAATTCACACAACAAATCAATGGATTTTTTAAAACGTACGTTCTGCGCTTACTTCATTCTATAATTCGTACTAAATTCTGTTCAAAGTAGAAGTCTAGGTTAATTAGCATTACTGAGAACATGTAAATGACTACAAGGAAAAAGTACACTAAAAACATTAACGTAATCAGTAACATTCAAAAGTAAAAATTTCGTTTATTAATACAAAGTTGAGTCAAATATAAATCTCACATAACTTGTAATATAACCTCCTTTACGAATACCAAAAATGTTCATTAAATCACTGCTATTCTTTGGCTATGCAACGAATTATTTGTCGCACATTCAAATCAATTTAAGGCTTTGATTGCGTAAAGAATGTACGACGTTGTACGCGAGCCAGAGATCCGATCACATGTATACCAGGGCATACCTTACCATGTTTAGATTGAGATACTAAGACGGGATTTAGGCACGCGACAAATTTGTGTCAAATATATAAAGGAGACACGTACACGAGTCATTCAGTCGATGGTGAATTTATCTACGATTCGGTTTACTGATTTTGAAACAAAATGTATCGTTTGGTAAGTATTTTATTTAATCTATACTATTATAATAAAGCGTAAACACATACTTCTCTGTTGCCTAACATGTCAGCAATTACAGCAAATTTATGAATGACTCTTTTTTTAATAAAAAGCCCTTTAGGCTATATATTTTCACGCCATTAAACTTAAGGGGTTAATATTTTGGATAAAAACCCTAATGTGAGAAAGAGACCCTAAGTTGCTCCCAACATCAAGATAGAAAGATTGCTAAAGTTTGTCATGTCATGTCATTTTGACATTTGCTATTGATAATTTGACAAATGTAAGCAATAAAATGAAATTTTTATAATTTTATGCTGATGAAGTCGCATGGGAACAGCTAGTTGATGATAAAATTCAATCATCTAAACTAGTATGTTCACATTTTAATCCATTACATCTAATAAACGTCAACTAAAATTCCTAAATCCACTACAAGATCATTTACTGCCTAATTCTTGTTACATAGTACAATTATTTGTCTCGAGTTCTCTGAACTCTCCGTCAATTGACCATCTTTCCGCCTAGTATCATCATCAACAAAAATTCCGTAACATGTAATAAATATATTCTTGCAGCTGATCCTCGCGTTCGTGTGCACGGTGCATACAGCGCC